GAATGAAATGGTTCGACTATACTGCTTGAGTTTTACGGCGACATTCAGGGCAGAAGCCATTTCATTTCCACTGCTATAGAATTGTAAACGATAACGTATTTACAAGTGAAAATAGGCGATATAAAGAACTTGCGTTTCGGTGCCATATTGGCGCCATTGTCAAGGTGATTATGAAAATATTCTGGAGTCCTGTTTTTGACTCAATTTCGTATGCACCGGAATTGAGTCAGGCGTGGGCAGGGGTGAGCTGTAAATATGACGAACGTGATTCACTTGCCATGGACCATGAATTTAGTTTTCCTGATTATTTACATGTTGAACACCATTGCTCGTGTTGCAGTGAATGAAATGGTTCGACTATACTGCTTGAGTTTTACGGCGACATTCAGGGCAGAAGCCATTTCATTTCCACTGCTATAGAATTGTAAACGATAACGTATTTACAAGTGAAAATAGGCGATATAAAGAACTTGCGTTTCGGTGCCATATTGGCGCCATTGTCAAGGTGATTATGAAAATATTCTGGAGTCCTGTTTTTGACTCAATTTCGTATGCACCGGAATTGAGTCAGGCGTGGGCAGGGGTGAGCTGTAAATATGACGAACGTGATTCACTTGCCATGGACCATGAATTTAGTTTTCCTGATTATTTACATGTTGAACACCATTGCTCGTGTTGCAGTGAATGAAATGGTTCGACTATACTGCTTGAGTTTTACGGCGACATTCAGGGCAGAAGCCATTTCATTTCCACTGCTATAGAATTGTAAACGATAACGTATTTACAAGTGAAAATAGGCGATATAAAGAACTTGCGTTTCGGTGCCATATTGGCGCCATTGTCAAGGTGATTATGAAAATATTCTGGAGTCCTGTTTTTGACTCAATTTCGTATGCACCGGAATTGAGTCAGGCGTGGGCAGGGGTGAGCTGTAAATATGACGAACGTGATTCACTTGCCATGGACCATGAATTTAGTTTTCCTGATTATTTACATGTTGAACACCATTGCTCGTGTTGCAGTGAATGAAATGGTTCGACTATACTGCTTGAGTTTTACGGCGACATTCAGGGCAGAAGCCATTTCATTTCCACTGCTATAGAATTGTAAACGATAACGTATTTACAAGTGAAAATAGGCGATATAAAGAACTTGCGTTTCGGTGCCATATTGGCGCCATTGTCAAGGTGATTATGAAAATATTCTGGAGTCCTGTTTTTGACTCAATTTCGTATGCACCGGAATTGAGTCAGGCGTGGGCAGGGGTGAGCTGTAAATATGACGAACGTGATTCACTTGCCATGGACCATGAATTTAGTTTTCCTGATTATTTACATGTTGAACACCATTGCTCGTGTTGCAGTGAATGAAATGGTTCGACTATACTGCTTGAGTTTTACGGCGACATTCAGGGCAGAAGCCATTTCATTTCCACTGCTATAGAATTGTAAACGATAACGTATTTACAAGTGAAAATAGGCGATATAAAGAACTTGCGTTTCGGTGCCATATTGGCGCCATTGTCAAGGTGATTATGAAAATATTCTGGAGTCCTGTTTTTGACTCAATTTCGTATGCACCGGAATTGAGTCAGGCGTGGGCAGGGGTGAGCTGTAAATATGACGAACGTGATTCACTTGCCATGGACCATGAATTTAGTTTTCCTGATTATTTACATGTTGAACACCATTGCTCGTGTTGCAGTGAATGAAATGGTTCGACTATACTGCTTGAGTTTTACGGCGACATTCAGGGCAGAAGCCATTTCATTTCCACTGCTATAGAATTGTAAACGATAACGTATTTACAAGTGAAAATAGGCGATATAAAGAACTTGCGTTTCGGTGCCATATTGGCGCCATTGTCAAGGTGATTATGAAAATATTCTGGAGTCCTGTTTTTGACTCAATTTCGTATGCACCGGAATTGAGTCAGGCGTGGGCAGGGGTGAGCTGTAAATATGACGAACGTGATTCACTTGCCATGGACCATGAATTTAGTTTTCCTGATTATTTACATGTTGAACACCATTGCTCGTGTTGCAGTGAATGAAATGGTTCGACTATACTGCTTGAGTTTTACGGCGACATTCAGGGCAGAAGCCATTTCATTTCCACTGCTATAGAATTGTAAACGATAACGTATTTACAAGTGAAAATAGGCGATATAAAGAACTTGCGTTTCGGTGCCATATTGGCGCCATTGTCAAGGTGATTATGAAAATATTCTGGAGTCCTGTTTTTGACTCAATTTCGTATGCACCGGAATTGAGTCAGGCGTGGGCAGGGGTGAGCTGTAAATATGACGAACGTGATTCACTTGCCATGGACCATGAATTTAGTTTTCCTGATTATTTACATGTTGAACACCATTGCTCGTGTTGCAGTGAATGAAATGGTTCGACTATACTGCTTGAGTTTTACGGCGACATTCAGGGCAGAAGCCATTTCATTTCCACTGCTATAGAATTGTAAACGATAACGTATTTACAAGTGAAAATAGGCGATATAAAGAACTTGCGTTTCGGTGCCATATTGGCGCCATTGTCAAGGTGATTATGAAAATATTCTGGAGTCCTGTTTTTGACTCAATTTCGTATGCACCGGAATTGAGTCAGGCGTGGGCAGGGGTGAGCTGTAAATATGACGAACGTGATTCACTTGCCATGGACCATGAATTTAGTTTTCCTGATTATTTACATGTTGAACACCATTGCTCGTGTTGCAGTGAATGAAATGGTTCGACTATACTGCTTGAGTTTTACGGCGACATTCAGGGCAGAAGCCATTTCATTTCCACTGCTATAGAATTGTAAACGATAACGTATTTACAAGTGAAAATAGGCGATATAAAGAACTTGCGTTTCGGTGCCATATTGGCGCCATTGTCAAGGTGATTATGAAAATATTCTGGAGTCCTGTTTTTGACTCAATTTCGTATGCACCGGAATTGAGTCAGGCGTGGGCAGGGGTGAGCTGTAAATATGACGAACGTGATTCACTTGCCATGGACCATGAATTTAGTTTTCCTGATTATTTACATGTTGAACACCATTGCTCGTGTTGCAGTGAATGAAATGGTTCGACTATACTGCTTGAGTTTTACGGCGACATTCAGGGCAGAAGCCATTTCATTTCCACTGCTATAGAATTGTAAACGATAACGTATTTACAAGTGAAAATAGGCGATATAAAGAACTTGCGTTTCGGTGCCATATTGCCGCCATTGTCAAGATGATTATGAAAATATTCTGGTGTCCTGTTTGTGAAGTCCGCTAGTTTTGTAACAGTAAATAGCAAAATTAACGAGATTAATAAATAATTTAATGCTGGGGGTAATCTTGCGATAGACTAGCATAAGCTCCGGTTGTATGGACCTGTATGGCCATATGGTAAAAAGCCGAGTCTGCTCATATACATCGTTGCTTATCCCCGAGTTCAGTGGCATAGAGCGACTAGGAATATACCTGGATGCGGTGCTGGTCTATTGCATGCATGTTTACCCCTTGCATATACGTCCCCCGTACCCGCAATTTATACATGCATCTGGACGGAGAGAAACGCCGTCAGACACCAGACTCAAGGCTCAAGACACACCACACAATGACCCCGGACATGGCTTAAACCTGGACCTGTCGATCTGGAGTCCAACATGCATGCGTCCATAGCGCCTTCATCCTCCTCGAAGCGAGCTTATTAAAAATGTCTTCTACGTCAGGTAGTCAAACCAGACCCTAACAGCATACCGCTTTCATTACTATTTATTTATGTTACCTAAATTGATAACCTCAAAAAGACTGTCATCAAAACGTTTTGCGTGGTAAGAGATTACCACACTATTCTTTACACAGTGTTGTGCGGAGTCTGTCCGTGTTTTGAAGCCCGCTACATCAAATGAACAAAAACTTTGTACAAAGATTATTTATCGCAAACTTCTATGCGACTGTTTTAAGTATCTTTTCAAAAGAAATCATTTCTAACAACACCAAATTTTGAAATTCTAATAAAACACTTGAAAGTACAGATGAAATAAAAATTATGAAACTGATCATAAAATTTGCACAATTTCTCTGAAATTTATATTCTCAAGTTCCGATGGGAAATTGTTTCTGGTTTTGTTTCAGGCAACTATTTAAATTCCGCTTTTAGAAAGTGCAACAAGGACAGAAATGTACTTAAAGCTAATCTGATACAAGGCTTTTGACCACTGAAAGCTGAAATTGCTCGATTTCCTATCGGATTTCGTCTTAAATCCTCCCTAATAAAAAAGGATAGCGACTGGTACCAAGAGTCTGTTACACTTACCCACAATTCTTAGCGCACGAAGACTTTAACAAAGCT